GTGATGCTTGCAATTCCAGTGATCAGTTAATTAGGGATTAGCCAGAACAGTCAATAATTTAAAGATTCACAGTAACTTAAAATGATTATGCATTGATCTTTAATTTGAATCATAAAATTTAGATGCGTCTCAAGGGACACACTATTACAGGTACAATACTGACTTTCTGCCACCCTTGGTCATAGAACCAGGTTGGATTATTGATTTTGACAGAGTAACAGAATTGATATGATAAAAATTCAATAATACACCTCTGACCCATTAATTATGTATCTCGTATCTCTACAGCATCATCGGCTGTTATAAGCAATTAACAATTAGTACGACATAAGCAATGACACCTGCGGCTGCTCGGTGAATTAGTGTGGTAGTTGCATGAAATTCAATGCAAACAGGTGTTGCATCATCAGTTAACAAATATTATTAGTGCACCTGTGTTAAACAGTCAAAATAGGTATAAACTTTTTGTGACTAAATATATATATATATATATATATTCATGAATTATTCACACAAAAACAAATGCAAAGGTTAATGATTTAATTGGCGAGAAATCCATCATCGCAAACAATTCAAATAATATACAAAAACCTCCGAATCCGTTATGAATGAAAAAGATCCTTGTTTCTATAAATTTCTGCCGTATTAGTTCTTATTTTTACTACAAGCTTTCGTCTGTTCCTACAGACATCTTCAGGTATGGAATAGATGTTGTTCTTGTTTTTTCTCTTAGTAATTATACATACTAACACTGCACAGACTAACAGTGCATCTATGGACATAGCCCACAGACCAGACCATAGAAATACTTGATAACAAGATATAACCAACAGACCAGATCATAAAAATATGACAATAGGATATAGACCAGATCATAGAAATATATGACAATGGAACATAATCCACAGACCAAGTCATAGAAATATATGACAAGATATAGCCAACAGACAAGGTCATAGGAAAACATGGCAATGGGAAATAGCCCACAGACCAGATCATATAAAAATATAAGTCCACAGAATATAGTCCACAGACCAGGTCACAAAAATATAAGACAAACAGGAAATAGCATACAGACCAGATCATAGAAATATATGACAATGGGATAAAGCCCAGACTAGATTAAAAAGTCAATTTTTATGATAGTTGAGCTCCAAAGGGTATATACATATATATATTACTTGATTAAAACAGTTTACTTATATGAAAGCTATTTGTAGACCTAGATGAGCAATTTCCTTTTTTTTTATTTAAATGCATTTAGGAAAAACCAGTTATAACCATTAATGCTTCTCAAAGGTATAAAAAATACACCTGTCATATTGTGATGGTGGCAGCGGCGGCATCAGCAAACCATTTTTTTCCTCTTTGAGCAAGTCTTGTGGGTAGTAGGGTGCAACCAGCTGGGTAGAGTTAAACTGTCTTACTAGTTTCCATAACACTTAACATCAGTTGAGACAGACAACATTGGCAGGTCATCTATTACAGACAACATATTGCCATGGGGTTATTCTTTTTTCTCTTTTTCCATATTTAATCTTAAACTTGTTACAGAGCAGCTGCATCTAATCAAATTGAGGTAGACGATAAACAGGGTTTGTTTTTGGTTTTTCAACGCTATCATGGCATGAGTGTAGCATAATGGGTAGTAGCTTGGAGTGAGAAATCAGAGAGACATGTTCAAATGCCAGCGGGTTTGTTACATTCATTTACATGCAAATACACTTTAGGAAAAGTATAAATCCATCTCTCCTTCCCCAAGCTATAGGTTAAATAATAAAGCAGACTGATTTCTAACTACAGCTAGAGTTCAATCTAGAAGAAGGTACAACCCTGAATTCAAACATATATGTAACCCTTGGACAAAACCCTGAGTTGATCTTTGGTAAGGCATAGCACCCAGAAGCCACCCCTGCAAGAATTATGGTGGAGACATCAGCAGCAGGATGTTGGATGTGGTCAATGACAGAATCTAAGAGAACAAATTTGTGGCATTGGACTGCAATGGTGACATGCAAAATGATCCTTCATACGGAACAATAAGACGTAATTATTTCTGGTTGTATAGAAACTGCAGGAATATAGAGTAGCGTCTTGTGTTTCTTAATGTATGTGCAACTGAAACAGCTATGATGACATATGGGCAAGGACAGTGTAAAGGTCTCATACCACCCCTGAGTCTATGATACCCCCTGAATACTACATCTCAATTTTCATAAGGTAGTATTGATACGAAATACAAATTTATTGTAACCTTATTATGTACAATAATGGATCATATGCAATGTCGGTGAAGAATTCAACTAGAAAAATTGAAAATAAATACAATGTATCTAAATACAAATTAGAGACATATTATAATAGATTATTCTATCTTAAATAAATCAATATTTTGTGTCAATTTTTAGCATCAACTGGAGATTTTTCTTGTTAAAAAGATGAGTAATTTTAACACATTCAGCATTATGGATAAAAATAGTGAATTTTATATTGTGTTTTTTTCAGGACTTAGTATAAGCAAAACAAATCATTGATACAGCCCCCTTAACACTATTACTTCTCAATTGTTATAAGGTCATATTCATATAAAATACAAATTTTATTGTAACCTAATTATGTACAATACATGGATTATATGCAATATAAGTGAACAATTCAATTAGAAAAATTGAAAATAAATACAATGTATCTAAATACAAATTACAAACATGTCATAATAGATCATTCCATCTTAAATAAATCAAGAATGCTTTGTGGCAATTTTTAACATCAACTTGAAATTTTTCATGTTAAAAAGTTGAAGAATTTTAATACAGAATGTTGACATTATGGATATAAAATTGTGAATTTTATATACCATTTTTTTTTATATAGTGAAAAAAAAATTTACAGATTTGGACAAAAAAATTTCAGCCACGACCTCACAAAAAAGAAAAAAAAAGGTTTTAAACCAAGTTAACCTATTTACCAAGAAATTAAAAAAAATAGTTACATGGTTTGAAGTAATATTAGACTTGAAGTAAATTTATAATACAGCCTCTTCCCAATCATGGATATAGACCTTCCAATCTACTACATCTCAATTTTCATAAGGTAGTATTGATATAAAATACAAATTTTATTCTAACCTAATTATGTAAAATAATGGATTATAATGCAATATAGGTGGACAATTCAACTAGAAAAATTGAAAATAAATACAATGTATCTAAATACAAATTAGAGACGTCATTCCATCTTAAATAAATCAAGAATGCTTTGTGGCAATTTTTAAAATTAACTTGAGATTTCTCTTGTTAAAAAGATGAATAATTTTAACACATTCAGCTTATAGATAAAAATCTTGAATTTTATATTGTGTTTTTTTTTTTCAGGACTTAGCCTGAGCAAAACAAATCATTGATATGGGTCCTTCATTCTACTAAATCTAAATTTTTATAAAGTTGTATTCATATAAAATAGAAATTTTATTGTAACCTAATTATGTACTGTACAATAATGGATCATCTTACTTATTATAAAACGCAGATTGTGTGTGTGTGTGTGTGTGTGTGTGTGTGTGTCTGTACATTTATATATTGGATCGGATTTCCTACATTTTTCAACCGATTTCAACTAAACTTCACAGGACTACGTAAAATCACCTTGCGGTGGTTCTGACAGCGCCAAAAATTGGAAAAACAATTGTTTTTTCACAAAATCAATTTGAAAACACGATAAAACACGATTCTGTTGCCAGAATGAAAGGGAGACAACTCATATAGAGTTATACTTATGATAAAAACCCAGGTTGTTTGTGTGTATGTGTTCTTTTATATATGGGATCGGATTTCCTACATTTTTCAACCGATTTCAACAAAACTTCACTTTTTTTTTGGCAGGTAGTGTTTCTTATTGTCTTGCACATTTTTTTCTTTATTTTTTACATTCAGAATGCTTTAAAAATTCCATTTATAAGACAATTGTTTATAATAAAATTCTAGTCAATCGATAGATTAATAATGATTGAAAACAATATTTTTTCTTTGAGTTTGGGTTTAACCAATTCGTAAAAAAAAAACAAAAAAATTAATTAAGACATGCATGTCCGTCAACCTTAAACAATAATCTTTGTCAATTTTATTTTTCAGTCTTCATGATGGTCGATACTTGATCTATCTCTTACTGTTACATTGCCGGGCAACACCGGGCTCTACTGCTAGTATATAATATAGGTGAACAACTCAACTAGAAAAATTGAAAATAAATACAATTTATCTAAATATAAATTAGAGACATTATAATAGATCATTCCTTTTTTTTTTTTTTTTTTTTTTAAAAAAAAATGTTCTGCAGCAATTTTTAACATCAACTTGAGATTTTTCTTGTTAAAAAGTTAAATTATTATTAGCATATTCAACATTATGGATAAAAGAATAGTGACTTTTATATAGCGTTTTACTCAAGATTTATAATGAGCAAAACAAAATTTTTTTTTATCCTATAATAGTCGTGCATATTTTATATTTATAACATGTAAGTAGAAAAAATGCAAATGCAAATCAGGCCTGATGATTGTGTCTAGCATGAAACAGCCTGTCACCTCTAAGTATTTATATATATATATATATATATATATAAAAAAGCTGACCGTATATGCCAGTCTACTAGAGTGGCTAGCCAATCCCTATTGCTCAGGCACATTTGTTTGTTCAACACCCACAGAACCCATCTCTGGTTTATACTGCAACTAACCTGAGCAGACCTTAGTTACAGTTTCTAGAAGAGAGTGCATTATTTAGCATGATCAACAGCCTGAACAAAGCCAGCTCACTGAAACCCTCAGTCACAATGACTTGTTACTTTGTGCTACACAACCATTGACAGCTCTCAAATTATTCCATCTACCCAATTTCACTCACAAGGTTTGGGTCAACCCGTGGTATTGTTGTCAGGCAAATTTCAATTACCAAACATCAGAATGCAGATTTCTACAGAAGGATACTGAGAATACCATGGACAGGACATGTAAGGAGTGAAAGAGAGAAAAGGGAAAGAGAGAAAAGGGAAAGAGAGAAAAGGGAAAGAGAGAAAAGGGAAAGAGAGAAAAGGGAAAGAGAGAAAAGGGAAAGAGAGAAAAGGGAAAGAGAGAAAAGGGAAAGAGAGAAAAGGAAAGAAAGAGAGAAAAGGAAAGAGAGAAAAGAAAGAGAAAAAGGAAAGAGAGAAAGAGAGAGTGAAAGGGAAAGAGAGAGAGAGTGAAAAGGGAAAGAGAGAGAGAGAAAAAGGGAAAGAGAGAGAGAGAAAAAGGGAAAGAGTAAGAGGGAGAGAGGGAAGAGAAATGGAGGGGAAAGAGAGAGAGAAAAGGGAAAGAGAGAGAAAAAGGAAAGAGAGAGAGAAAAAGGGAAGGGAAAGGGAGGGGAGGAGTTGGAAAGGGAAAGAGAAAGGATAAATGGAAAAGACCAGAGAGAGAGAGAGTGAGGAAAAGACCAGAGAGAGAGCGAGAACAGTAAAAGGTCGGAGAGAGAGAGAGAGAGAGGGAGAGATGAGTAAAAGAACCAGAGAGAAAAGAGAAAAAGGACCAGAAAGGGAGAGAAAGAAAAAGAAAAGGAAGCAAGAGAGATACAATCGAAAATGAAAATTAGCCTGATTTAGACAATGAAGAATCTTAAGAACACTGATGAAATAGTCTAATGAAGGAGATAGACATTAGGAGAAATCCATTGTCAGGATTTGTGGGTGGCCTATGCCAAGAGACTTCATTAACATAAGGGCGGCGCCAAATACAAACATTGGTTGTAGCAGCAGTGAGTCAGGTAGGGGTGTAGTCAAGGAAATGTAAGAAAAATAAAATACAGTAGTCAGAAGCAAAGAAGAAAGACAAAATAACTAAGTTCTCCTGCACTTTAGCGTGGGTTAACAAACCTCACCTAACCAGGTGCAAGAGATGGAGCTTCCAATTTTTCTACTTAGTATTATGGAACATGATAACAAAAAGGAAATACCTATGTGTCATGTCCTATTCAAGACATGAGTGAACATGGCTCTCCCTAATCTCCTATTTTTTATCTTTCTGCTATACCATCCATTTACACATTTAAATACATTACTTGTTATTGCCTTCTGTCCCTCTTGCTTTCACTATGTCCTGTGAACAACAAATTCTTCAAGCCTCCTTTCCTCATATGCAAAATATTTTTATTAATCCAGACCCACAATCCTGAAATTTTGGATTCCCGAGTTTTCATTACTGCTATTGTTTCTGGCCATTTTTTTTAGGTGATTTTTGGCAACAAATTTTTTTTGTACGATAACAATTTTTATAACTTGGAAATAAATTTGGGAATAATTGAAATTAATTGAGAGAATCCAGTGAAAGTCAGCCATGAAATAAAAATAATTATTTGTACAGAAAGTAAGGACCTACATACATCAAATTGTCTTTAAATTAAGTGGCAACAGAAGAATTATCATTGAACTTTTAAAAGGTAAGCTTAAATATTAATGCAATACTTAAACGCAGCGACCAATTTTGAGTTCTTCTCTAGTTTATTGTTGCCTATCGCATATACTCCTTCCTACCTATTGTGATGAAGGCCCAATCAAGAATCCTCAACAGGAGCTAGCTTAAATGCCATCTGATAGGATGGCTTTTAAGCTGGTATATATATATATATATATATATATATATTATAAATGTAAACGGTAAGCTTAAATATTAATGCAATACTTCAATGCAGCGACCAATTCTGAGTTCATCTGTAGTTTATTGTTGCCTATCGCATCTACTCATTCCTACCTATTGTGATGATGGCCCAATAAAGAGCTATCCGCAAGAGGTAGTTTAAATGCCCCCTGATAGGATGGCTTTTAAGCTGGTATATATATATATTATAAATGTAAACGGTAAGCTTAAATATTAATGCAAAACTTAAATGCAGCAATCAATTTTGAGTTCATCTGTAGTTTATTGTTGCCTATCGCATCTACTCCTTCCTACCTATTGTGATGAAGATTCAATCAAGAGCCCTATGCAGGAGCTAGCTTAAATGCTGCCTGAATAGGGCAGCTTTTAAGCTAGTATATTCTACAAGAAAGTAATTTCTTAAAATAAGAATTCTTACTTATCCCCAATAGGAGTGAATATTAAATAAATAGAGCAAGCACACACACACACAAAACAAAACTAAAGCCCTTCTTTTTAAACTGTTGAATAAAATCTGAAAGAAAATTTAAGGGTGAAGGGGCTTTAAATTGTCATTTATTTACTCATATCATATTATGATTCTTTGTGCAGAGTGAATGGCCATGGTTAAATGTAAATAAATAGCAGAACTGCCAAACAAACAGAATTGACAAAGTTTACAATAAATAATAACAAAAAATGAGAAGAACAGGGAAATATATTTTTCACTTGAAAATGAAACAGGACTAGGGACTTTAATTCTATAATGGAATTTGAAGTTTTTAGTTTCTGTTTTTGAAACATGGTAATTGGTGTGTAGCAATGGAACCATATTTTTAAATTAGTATATATATATATATATGTGTGTGTGTGTGTATATATATATATATATATAAATAAACATATGTATGTGTGTGTATATATATATGTATATAAGTGTGTATGTATATGTGTACATATATGTGTGTGTGTATATATATATATATATATATAAAGCAAACAATATATACATGGTAAATTAACAGTAATATGGCAAGAACTTAGCAAACTAAGAAGTGGGTTTGACACACAAGAGCAAATGAACATAACATTCTGACTTCAAGACAAGACAGACCTGGACTGAGTCAGATGAGACCGAGAACTGGCCTATTTTATTGTCTAGAAAGAAATCCCAGCATACATCTGTCTGCTTCTGCCTATAAATTGGGAAGGGGAAAATATCTCACAGTTATTCCCACTATTGGATTGGCATCAACAGTTTCTTCATTAGTAAATTAGTTGGCACATATGTTACAATCTCTCATTACCTCAGATAAATAATGAACCACTGAACTTTGATTGTGAAGATATACAGAAGGAAACGAAATATCAGAAGTGTCCCTCTTTTAGTGAGAAATAAAAGCTGACATAGTGAGTGGAGGTGATAATGCTCTCATGTTTTTAACATCTGGTTCAGTGAAATTGAAAACTTTGTCAATTTTGAATTTTATTTCATTTGTACCCTCTTACTCCTTTAAACAATGGTCTGCATTCATACGAATGATTTTTATTGGAATGTTTTTGTTCTAACCTAGGGAAGGTTATTGAATGGAATAATCACATGTAGGTTGGTAATGAATGATAATAATTAGGACAAGAACAACACATATAAGATTCGCCAGCAGTGTGTAGAAGTAGTCAACTGCTAGAAGTGAGGTAAGGGAATTCTACAATGAATCTGAAACTGCAGACCAACATACAGTATTTACTACCGTATTTATAAGAATGGGGACATAACCATTATTGTCCGTAGGTATGATACAACGATAATGATTAATAAAAAAAAAAGGTCTTTAAATGTTTTGTGAAGAACTTGTATCCAACAAATGAAGTGTAAAATGTCTGGATAATGTTATCATCAAACCAACATATGTACTTACGTTTTTGTCAGTAATTAGGAAAATAGAAAGGATTATTATGAAAATAAATAGACATACGTCTCTATTATACTCTGAAACTGTTGTAACCTAGGGAATGTTACTGAATAGAATAATCACATGAATAAACGATAATACTTAGGACAAGAACAACAAATACAAGATTCACCAGTGGCATGTAAAAGTAGTAGTCAACTGCTAAAAGTGAGTCAAGTGAATTCCACAATGAATCCCCAACTGTAGACCAACATACAGTATTTACTACTGTAAATATGTGAATGGGGACATATCCATTATCGTCCGTAGGTATGCTACAACTGTCTTGTTAAACTTCAAATATTTAACAATGCAATAGAGGAATTTCCATTTTTTTTTATAGCCAAGGATTAGTGCACTAAATTTTTTATACCAAAATTCAGTTAGTGCATGCATAATAGTTGATTAGTACGGAAACACATTCTTCAGTTTAACCATAGTAATTGAAAACTAATTTTTTTTATAGTTACCAATGTACAAATTATCCACACTAATCGAGGGATTCCTGCATATGATTCATCAAAAAATTCAAAAAAAAGATGCTAATCTTCACAAGTTGGTCTACTTGGCAACTCTTCAACTGGAAAAGTGGCGGCTTACCCAAAAGAGGCTGAGCAGCCATTTTAAATAGGGCACAGACATAGAGAATGAAGTAGTCTGAATAAAGAATTCTTTCTCCATCACGTGTCAGAGTTCCTTTAATTTCAACTTACACAAGATATTGGTCCCCATGTCAGAAAATGACTATTACAAAAAAAAAAAAAAAAGTTATAGTCAATTCCTATAGAAAAAAAAAAATTATAGTCCTATAATTATAAATTCCTACAGATGCATGCTGGGATTTTTTCCTAGCCAATAAAAATGGACAATTCTCAGCCTTACCTACATATTTTTTCTTTCTTACCTTCTTTATCACTTTTTACTTTGTTATTATTGCCTTATAGTTGCTTTGATTTGCCTTACCTCGTATTGCACTTTTCTTTTGATTGTTATTGAGAATTTTACACTTGATAATGCTTGCTTCCTCTAAAAAGGAAAACTGAAATTTCCATTACTATCATAATTGTGCTGTGTGAGTTCACATGACTGTTACCTCCCTGCCAATACATTATAAATAATAAGCTACTCTGCTTTGATCATGTGGAAAGAGGAGAAAAGACACTACTTGGTTTCAGTAAAAGAAAGAAAGAAGTGAAGATAGAAATGGGGAGAGAGAATCAGATTAAGCTGAGAACAGATACTACACTTTGACCTTAGCCAAAAGGTTGAGAAGCAATGGTGATAAATGCGCCATTTTTCAGATGCACAATATCAAACAACGGAAACCGAGTAAGGCAATTGCCAAAAATCCAGTTACCATAAATAAAATAACATTGTCTGCTGAATTATTTTTAAATTATTATTAAGTGAAATGTTTGTAAGATGTGGATTTGTCTAGTATTATATTATAATAAATTATGTATTATAATATATATATTACATTAAATATATTAATACATTTTACTTTTATTTTATATATATATATATATATATATATATATATATATATATATATATAATATATATATATGCAGGTTTCATTAAAAACAACAGACAAGGTACTACAGTTAAGCCTTTTATTTAATTTTTCTTGTGTTCAAACAAGAACTTTCTTTTCTGGACAAAAAAGTGTGTAAAAACTGTCTTTTACGATATTAACTACGAACAAGGCCACAATGTGCTAACCGTATTTGGAAATTAAAAAAACATCTCTACAACACACTAAAACATACACATAATGCACACACTCAATTAAGCTGAAAAATTGAATGATCCTTGATAATGGCTAAAGGTATAGCCGAAAGATCTCATAACTATAAAACACTTGGACAGTTTTTACACACTCTTTGTCCAGAAAAGAAAGCTCTTGTTCGAACACAAGAAAAATTAAACAAAAAGCTTAACTGTAGTACCTTGTCTGTCATTTTTAATGAAACATGCATAAAGGAAGGATTGCTGCCTAAATATACAACTATATATATATATATATATATATATATAGCTTTTATTTTATATATTTTATTTTATAATAAACATTTATAATAGATATATTAATAATAATAATATGCAATATATAATTTTTATTAAAATAAGGAAATTCAAGAAACTCATTTTATGATAGCCGAGCTAGTCCCACTTGATTATTACTGCTATAAATATAAGGAGTTTGATACTCAGTAGGTCCTCAATATATGAATCCTTGTGCCAGACCAAGCTAAACCAAGTGGAATATTAATAGCAGAAGTGTACCAATCAAATGCTTTCAGCATGACAGAAATAGAAAATGTAGGTAAATAAGAGGAGGAGATAGATAAATGCAAGCAGTTGATTCATAAGGTCTGTGAGATGGTAGAAGAGAACAACAGGTTGCTAATGGTACCTGAAGACGCAGGTAAGTGTTTCTTTCAGCATACCTATGTATTAAGTTGTGTATTTAGCGGGAGGGTGAAGAAGAGCCTGCAAGTGTTGATATACTGGAGAAGACGTAGGTAAATTTAGGGTCGGAGGGGGTTGAGATAAGAAGGTTAACTGGGAATGATTGTTTGACTCATAGACAAGAGGGAGCCGATTTACTGAATTTCTCCCTGGCACAATTAGGGTACATATGACACAAGGTTAGAAAATTAATAATGTGGCGTCTTTTATTTAAGAATTGGCATCAGAAGGTTGAAATAAAAAGCAATAGGAATTAAGATGAAAGGAATTCTAGTCAAAAATTAATAATGGTTCACAATGTTTCATCTAATAATAATAATAATAATTGAATATAATATTACTAATAATGACACTAAAATGTTCTCAGTAGTTGCAATAAAAAGCAATAGGAATTAAGATGAAAGGAATTCTAGTCAAAAATTAATAATGCTTCACAATGTTTCATCTAATAATAATAATAATAATAATTGAATATAACTACTCATGACTGTAGAATGACATTGAGTAGTTGTCATAAAAAGCAAGAGAAATTAAGATGAAATGAAAAGTTGTCAAAAATGAATGATTTACAATGTTTTACCTATTAAAAATAATTTACGTTATAATATTATAACTAAGTTTTTACAAAATAATTTTAAAAAAAAAGAAAGAAAAAAAAAAGAAGGTGAATTTTGACATTCCCATTTTATGGGGGTCAAGTTTTCTTTACCTTTAATGTGTCCCCTGAACCTTCAATTTAAATCTCACTCATATTGGTTTTCATTTATGGGGGAGTTGAGTGCCTTGTCAAAACTGCAGGAGGTACCTACAGTGTATTTAAGAAAATGCATCCATCAATGCAGAAAATTTTCATCATCACTCCAATGACTGGGTGTGGACAAAACGTTTGCAGTGCAGATGAACACCTGATCACTTTCCATCACATATCAGGATTGAAAGCATAGACCTGGAGGTCAAATCACAGCAGATGCTCTCTAACTTGAAGTCTTGATTTCGTCATGGACAAGATTCTTGGTATCCTTATTAAAGGAAGAGAGAAAATTACCATGTTGATACATATTCGTTTATTCCAAGTACTTTTCGACATTAGCACAATGCCATCATCAGGTTATTGTTGTTTTTTGTTATGTTAAATTCTTTTTTAACTGCTAAGTGAAAAACACTAAGGTCATGTACTGTATGATTTAAATGTAAATATCAGGGGGAGGTAAGTTAGTTTTGAAATGTCCATTTTTTTTATATGAGATGTGTCTTAATGAAAACATGCTTCAAAATATATATAAAATATATATATATATATATATATATATCAAATCTCCCCAAAGAAAAGTGATACTTATGGTTTAAAATGAATTTTTTAAAAAATTAAAAATCTTTCTTGAATCTTTTATTTTAGTTTTAAATTCAGGTTAAAAGATTAAATTTAATATTCCAATATGCAAAATACTTTTGCTGTATTTCAAAAATTAATTTAAAGTGATTGCAATAATTATAAAATAAACTAAAAACTGCTAAAAATGGATGATTTTAGCAATAATTAAAATTCTCTCAGAGCAATGTACTTCTCTTTATTATAAAAAAAATTAAATAAAATATACTTTTCTGAAATTTTATTTGAGGAAGATAAGCTGATTTAAAGTTTAATCTGATTTGAAACACATTACTTTTAGTTTAAAATAGAGTAGAAAAGCATTTTTTAACGACAACTATCTTGATAGACTTGCATTTGGAATTTTTTTCTACAGGGGACATCTGTAAAAAATACTTGACTAATATAACTTGAGTGCCTTTTTTATATCATTTTTTTTATGTTCAACATAATCTAATGTTTTATTGAATTTTAGGTTTTTTTGGCTTTAAATTTACTGTAGTTACTGCTTTTATTTTCTGATAATGTTGTGTATGCTAAACACTTCTATCTTTCCTTCTTTCTTTCATTTTTACACTAAAACCAAATAGTGTCTTTTCCCCCTCTTTCTACATGATCAAAGTGGAACTGTCCAGTATTTATAAGAAAATAACTAACAAAGAGTGGAATGAGCACACTTATTATAATAAATATCTGGTTGTCAGTTGCGAAAAGGGAGATGGGGAGTAAAGTTCCAATTCCAGAAGAAAGGGAAAAGCATGAATCAAAATCTCCTACTTGTAGTTGTGAGTAAAACAACAGAGTAGACTGAGCTATTTAGCCTTGGCAGGGCAATCAGTGTAGAAGGTCAATTCTTGAATTCAAAAACCAACCTGAGCAGAGATGGTGGCCCAAGATTCACCCCCTGCAGCTACTGTAATACATGTGATATCCAAACGGATGCACGCAAACATGCAATTTAATATCATTATAATGATAATATTATTGCTACCAGCGTTCTAAAATAGTTGTTGCATTTACATACATATTTTATACATGAACTGTTACAGGATGATGGTAATATTAATAATAATAATAATAAAGAAGATTAGATTTTGACTATTTATATAAAGATAATTGATTGGTATGTTTTTCTATGAAGATTAAGTTTGAATAAGATTTTATATTTGGATGCTGGTGCATTACAAAGAAATCATGTTTAAACAAAAAAAGAAGAATTACATGATTTTACATTAACCATTATTTATATAACCGAGGCCAAGGATGTTGAACAATTTTCAAAATATAAAAAAAGACTTTAAGAAAGAAAAAAAAATAAAGAAAAAACAGATAAGGAAAGTGTGTAAAAGACATTAAGAAAGAAAATGAAAACAGCAAAGAAATAAGAGAAACAATAAAAACAGGGGGAGAGAAAGAGTAGAAAAAGGAAGGAAGGAAGAGAAAGATTGGAAAAAGGAAGGAAGAGAAATAGGGGAAGAGGAAGGGAGAGAAAGAGGAGAAATAGAAAGCAAAGAAAGAAACAGCAAAAACAGGAGAAGAGAAAGAAGGAAAAGAAAGGAAGAGATGGAGGAGGATTGGAAAGAGGGAGGGATGGAGAGACGGAGGAGGAATGGAAAGAGGGACGGAGGGAGAGACGGAGAGGAATGGAAAGAGGAATGGAAAGAGGAGGGGAAAGAGGGATGGATGGAGAGACGGAGGAGGAATGGAAAGAGGGACGGAGGGAGAGACGGAGGAGGAATGGAAAGAGGGACGGATGGAGAGACGGAGGAGGAATGGAAAGAGGGACGGATGGAGAGACGGAGGAGGAATGGAAAGAGGGACGGATGGAGAGACAGAGGAGGAATGGAAAGAGGGACGGAGGGAGAGACAGAGGAGGAATGGAAAGAGGGACGGAGGGAGAGACAGAGGAGGAATGGAAAGAGGGACGGAGAGACAGAGGAGGAATGGAAAATGGAAAGACAGAGGGAATGGAAAGGGGAGGAGAGACAGAGGAGGAATGGAAAGAGGGACGGAGAGACAGAGGAGGAATGGAAAGAGGGACGGAGAGACAGAGGAGGAATGGAAAGGGGAGAGACAGAGGAGGAATGGAAAGAGGGAGGGAGAGACAGAGGAGGAATGGAAAGAGGGAGGGAGGGAGTGACAGAGGAGGAATGGAAAGAGGGAGGGAGAGACAGAGGAGGAATGGAAAGAGGGAGGGAGAGACAGAGGAGGAATGGAAAGAGGGAGGGAGAGAGAGAGGAGGAATGGAAAAGAGGGAGGAATGGGAAAATGGAAAGGGAGGAGAGACAGAGGAGGAATGGAAAGAGGAAAGGAGGAATGGAAAGAGGGAGAGACAGAGGAGGAATGGAAAGGAAGAGGGGAATGGAAAAATGGACGGAGAGACAGAGGAGGAATGGAAAGAGGGGAGGGAGAGAGGGAAGAGGACCGAGGAATGGAGCAAGAAGGGCAAAAGAAAGAAAGACAGAAAATTAGGAGAAAAAATGAGAAAAGAAAGACAGAAAAATCAAGAAAGGAAAGGGAGAGAGGGCAAAGACAAGAGAAAAATCAGAGAGGGGTAAGGAAAGGCAAGAGAAAATCAGAGAGGGGTAAGGCAAAGACAAGAGAAAATCAGAGAGGATAAGGAAAGAGAAAGAGAAAATCAGAGAAAATCAGAGTAAGGAAAAGAGAAAATCAGAAAATGAGGAAAAGAAAGGCAAAGGCAAGAGAAAATCAGAGAGAGGGTAAGAAAGGAAAGAAAATCAGAGAAAAAGCAAAGTAGAGAGGGGTAAGGCAAAAGACAAGAGAAAATCAGAGAGGGGTAAGGCAAAGGCAAGAGAAAATCAGAGAGGGGGCAAAAGACAAAGACAAGAGAAAATCAGAGAAGGGTAAGGCAAAAGACAAGAGAAAATCAGAGAGGGTAAGGCAAAAGGCAAGAGAAAATCAGAGAGGGGTAAAAAGACAAGAGAAAATCAGAGAGGGGTAAGGCAAAGACAAGAGAAAATCAGAGAGGGGTAAGGCAAAAGGCAAGAGAAAATCAGAGAGGGGTAAGGCAAAAGACAATCAGAGAAAAAAGACAGAGAGGGGTAAAGGCAAAGGCAAGAGAAAATCAGAGAGGTAAGGCAAAGGAGAAAATCAAAGGGGTAAGGCAAAAGAGAAAAATCAGAGAGGGGTAAGGCAAAGGCAAGAGAAAATCAGAGAGGGGTAAGGCAAAGACAAGAGAAAAATCAGAGATGGGTAAGGCAAAGACAAGAGAAAATCAGAGAGGGGTAAGGCAAAGACAAGAGAAAATCAGAGAGGGGTAAGGCAAAGGCAAGAGAAAATCAGAGAGGGGTAAGGCAAAGACAAGAGAAAATCAGAGAGGGGTAAGGCAAAGGCAAGAGAAAATCAGAGAGGGGTAAGGCAAAGACAAGAGAAAATCAGAGAGGGGTAAGGCAAAGACAAGAGAAAATCAGAGAGGGGTAAGGCAAAGACAAGAGAAAATCAGAGATGGGAGAAAAAATAGAGGCAAAGACAAGAGAAAATCAGAGAGGGGTAAGGAAAAAGACAAGAG